GCTCTTCCTCTTTCAACTCTCTAACTTGAAAAAAAAAAATAAGTCTTAGCTACTGACCTGGAGAAAAATGTTAAAGTTGAAACAGAAAGAAAGTTGAGGATGGAATGATGTGTGAGAAAATAGAAACAGAAGCTCGGTCACAGAAGGAAGGAGAGAGCTTGGCACACACAGAATTAAGTGATGACATGTTTGAGGAGCTCTTGGAGATCAAGGGCCCTGTCCACATCTGTGACAAATATGGGGAGAAGGGCAAGGAAGCACACACTCCTACCACAGCACGAAGATGTTACAAGTGTGGTAAGGGGCCACCGACTCGCAGTTTACAAAATCTATTCTGTCGAGGTTGGCAGGTGGTATGGTGGTTAAGGGCACTAGACTCCTACATGGCTCACCGTGGTTCGAGTCCTGGACCTGGAAGCTTGCTTTCTCACTTTCTCTCTCTCTCTTGAAATATTAAAATAATACTAATAAAGTTAAATTTTAAAAAAAAAGTTTAAAAAATCTATTCTGTAGGTTATGACCAGTATGAAAAAGAAAAATAAAAGTGATAAAATACAATGGAATGAAAAAGGAAACTCTACCAGAACTCGATTAGCGAGGTATTATTTCAGAAAACCACACATGCTCATGTACAAATAAGTCCACTGGGTCTTAGAGTAACATGTATTTCCTCCTGTGGGCTCCACTAAAAGGTCTGAGTGCACCCCAGGACCGCCAACTTCAGCTTCAACACATTCAAACTGAAAACTCACTGCCAAAGGTAACACCCCAAAATCCAGAAGGGAAACAAAGCAACATATTAGCAACACAGAATTTAAAATACATGATGTAGGGACCAGCAGTTGGTGTAATGGCTATGTCGCTGGACTCCACGTAGTCAACCATGGTTCGAGTCCCAGACCCAGTGGCTTAAACTCATGCCAGGCACATGTGCACACGTGTCCAAGATCCTGAGAGGAAAAAGGATTGTGGCGTGGCCACCTCCCCTTCGGGGTGATTTCTTGCTTTCTGTCTCTCTGTCTCTCTCTGTCTTTCTGGTGAGTGTACGTGCCCTATAGCAAAAACCTCTCCAAAAAATAAATACATGCATACATATATACATACACACGACGTAAATTGCAGAGCACAAATCAGGGGAAAGGAAAGTATGACTGAAGTGCCGTCTAGAGAACTGTCTAAGAATCAGATGGCGGGCTCCACTTCTGGCATGTTTTCCCCACCCTGAATAAAGGGATGCCGGTATGTTGAAGCGGAGGCACCAGGGGAGATGGAAAGGCCGAAGACAAGGGCGGTGGAGGTAACTGCAGCATCAGTTCAGGCAGGAGACCTGCATCTCTGAGCAGAGACAAAAAAGGCAGGACTTGGTGGAGATCCAGAGAGATGGGATGGGATGGGAGAAAGGTGACATGTCCCATGTTAAACCCCGAAGCCACGGGGAGCACTTGACACATAATGTGCCCTGTTCCTGCAAAATGTGTCAGTGATCTCAGTAACACCAATGGCTTTATTACGTAGAGTTGGTGCCTAGGCAGGGTCAATAGTCTCCTATTCCAAGTCTCCACTTCCCATTGTCCAAAAATGGCAGCACTATCCTTAGTGTCATCCTTGGTATCGCTCCTAACTGTAGTCCTTTTTTTTTTTCTTTTTTTGGGAGAGGTTTTTGCTATAGGGCGCGTGCGCTCGCCAGACAGACAGAGAGAGAGACCTAGAGACAGAAAGTGAGAAATCATCCCCCAGGAGGGATGGCCACGCCGCAATCCCTTCTCCTCCATCCTCCTCTCAGGATCTTGGGCATGCACACACACATGACCGGTGTGAATTTAAGCCACCAGGTCCAGGACGCAGACTGCAGTTGGTGTCCAGCGACATGGGAGTCCAGCGACATAGCCATTACCCTAACTGCCGGTCCCACTGTAGGCCTTTTCAGTGACTACCTATAAACTATGCTACACTCTGTTTCCCCAGATGATAAGGAACCACCTCTTCGAGACGGTCAAAGAAGTTTGTTTTGTTTCAAAATTGAAACCAACCTGACACTTAGAGATAGTTATCCTGAATGGTGCTCATAGACAGAAAATACAGACTTAGGGTACTCGCAGGTTAAGAATGATCTCAGAGCTGCCGTACCAGGACATAGAGAGACCATGTCAGGAATTACTAGTGAGGTTTGCACTTCCTTTAGGAGCAAAGGCTATGGTTTTGTTAGGTACTCTTTGTATGACTGGTAAGTTTGGGGTTTAGTACATTTAAAAGAGCTTTTTTTTTTTTTTAAAGGTTTTTGACTATAGGGCACGTACACTCACCAGAAAGACAGAGAGAGACAGAAAGTGAGAAATCGCCCCCCAGGAGGAATGGCCACGCCACAATCCCTTCTCCTCCATTCTCCTCTCAGGATACTGGGCGTGCCCACGTGCCTGGTGTGAGTTTAAACCACCGGGTCCGGGACTCGAACCGTGGTCAACTACATGGGAGTCCAGTGACATAGCCATTATGCCAACTACTAGTCCCAACTTATTAATAATAGCAAACACTTAACATGCTATCCACAATATACCAGAGACTGTTTTAAGTATTTACAAATATTAACTCATTTAATAAAAAATGTACATACAACTTTTACTTTCAGTTACCTGTTCAGTGGTTTATTCTCCCATTAAAGGTACATCTGTTTCTTCCATTTTTCGCCTACAAAAGATGAGAATATTGTTAGTGAGGAGTCACAAACACACACATATGTATTACATCATCACTTGATATTTTCCCAACTCAGGAGCACTGAAAAGGCTTCATTAAACTTGTCAATTATGTCAGCTGCCTAACTTTACTAAGTTCTTTCATAGAACCATGAGGAAGACACCATCGTTATAGACAGGGTCCTCAAAAGGTTCATGGAAAATGCATATTATGAAAAAATTATGCATGGATTTCAATTTGGGGGGGTAACAAAATAAATGTCAAAAATCAATTCCATTTTCCACAAACTTTTTTGAAGTCCCCCTCATATGTTCAGATTATAAAAGATTTGAAAAAGAAGTATTTTATGACTTTGAAAGAAATAAAAGTGGGACTAGCAGATGGTATAATGGTTACACCACTGGACTTCCACGTAGTCGACCACAGTTCAAGTCCTGGGCCTGGTAGCTTAGAACTCATGCTAGATGCATGTACGTGCATGCCCAAGATCCCGAGAGGAAAATGAAGGAGAAGGAATTACAGCATGGCCATGCCCCCAGGGGGTGATTGCTTGCTTTCTGTCTCTCTCAGTCTTTCTGGTGAGCACATGCACAAAAAAAAAAAAAAAAAAAAGAAAAGAAATGAAAGCAACATAATAAACAGTTAAGTACACAGGAAAAGCTGTTCTCCCTCCACATGTGATAAACTCTTTCAGCTGCACTCCCACTGAAGTTCTTTTCTTAGGTGGGAAGCACCTTTCCCTGCTGGGTGAAATAACTTACTGTTCTAAAGATAGAAGCAATTGCTGGATGTAGTTTTAAAGACCTACCTAAAATATTAAAAAATAATAATAATGGGAAGCACTTGTCAAAAACTGGGTGTGGCCTAGAAAGCCTCCACCAAGTGACATATACCTTGGGGAATTTATGAGTGTTCACTCTCATTCCCTGACTCCACAAGTCTATCTTCCAAAATAATCATGCTTACTAACACTGATTCATGCTAACCAAACCCAAAAGAGATGGATGAAGCCATAGTCTTCTGTGTTCATTTACAATCAAATGTGACCTGGTCGGAAAGTCTGGGCACGTGCTGTCCAGTTAGACCAATGTATTCACATCTCGTCAGCCCACATCCATCACCTGAAACCCAGTGCATCCCAGGAATAGGCACCTCATGGGCGGGTTACAGATCAGGCCAAATGCACAGCAGAGTGTCCAATGGGCATGTTGGAGCAACCCATAGCCAGATGCTGCAGGTCTCCAAAATTACCTCTCCAGTGAAGTATCTTCTATCTCCTCCACCATCCTAGTCTAAGCCACCCTCGTCCTTCTGGACAAACGCAGAACACATCTAGCTGTTTTGCCAACTTTCGCTCTCTCTCCCTTCCAATCCATGGCCCACAACATGTCCCGACTGAACACTTAAAAATAGAAAACTGATTGTGGCTCAGCCCTACTCATTCCCCTTTAATGTTCTGCATTAGTCTAACGACAGATGCCCTGGGACTGCTCACCCGTCCAGCCTCCCCACACACCACTCTCCCTTGCCATCCTCACTTCAGCCTCACGCTGGTCACTTTCCCCTCCAACGAGTGCACAGGAGCCCTCCATACCTCAGAGATTCGGCATATCTCATTTCCTCTGCTTGGAATCGAATGCACATACCCTGCCCCCATTCCTTTCCCCACTCCACCCCCTGTCCCCCACCCCAGAAGTTCACACACACACACACACACACCTGCCTAGTAATTTGCAGATCCCAGCTCAAATTCCACCACCCACAACTAACACAAATTCCTCTGTGTGAAGTTGTCAGGGCACAATGTAGTACTTATCACAGCCGGTAATTACACGTTGATGTGATCATTAAATTTAGGTTTATCTCTGCCACTGGACTCTCAGAAGCCCCATGAAGACAGACACTGTGCTGAAGTAATTTATTAGCATGTGCCGTAACAGCAGAGAGTCAATCGATGAGTTGCTGAATGCACGACGGCTTGGAGCCATCAGAACTTATTGCATCATCTCCCAAACAGGGAACCTTCTGCCAGGCAGACCACGTGGCTTTGAGGAATAGACTCCATGCTCCCGCAGTGCTCCCAGTCCAGCCCTGGGATACCAGAAATCAGGTAGATCCTGTCTACATTCACTTCTGTACATTTTCAGTTTCCTGTTTTGTGGCCAAAATAAATCTTAAGATGTTAAAAGAGAAGACACATTTGGGTAGCAACTCAGTAGAGAGAACATCCAGCAAAGGGTTACTAAGAATGCTAACACTATCCACAGAAAACACTGATTTCAGCCGAAGGAAGTCCTTGCTGAGGCAGCACTGGCAAATGGCTACTGTGCAGACTCTACAGCAACAGCTCTTAGAGGAGAGAGTGTGGAAGACTGGGGCATGCCACCACAAATGAGGGACTAGGAGTCCCCATTTCCTGCACCTCCTCCCATGCCACAGGCCCAGCCCTGCATGCCCAGCACGCTGAGACCTGGTGTGCGCCAAGTGTGCTTTTGTCCCATCAACAGTGGGCACCCCCTAACTCACCGTGTAGAATAGAATGTTTCAATGGCTTCGTTGCTATGATTAATTTTTTTTCTTTGTTTTGGAGAGGTTTTTACTATAGGGCGCGTGCGCTCACTAGAAAGACAAGAGAGACATAAAGACAGAGATTGAGAAATCACCCCCCCCCCCAAGGAGGATGGCCACGCCACAATCCCTTCTCCTCCATTCTCCTCTTGGGATCTTGGGCACGCACGCACATGTGCCCAGTGTGAGTTTAAGCCACCGGGTCTGGGACTCGAACCGCAGTCAGTTATATGGGAGTCCAGTGACATAGCCATTACACCAACTGCTGGTCCCTTTTTTTTCTTTTTTTTTTTCGGGGGGGGGGGATGTGATTAATTTTTTAAAGATGTTCCATCCCAGGGCAGAGGAAGTAGCTCTTCACCTGCTATCATCAAGCCACAGAGCATCTCATGTACTCAGCAAAAGAAATCCGTATCCTCTTCTAAATGGACCACTGCTGTTCAAACATGACCTGGTCCTTGGCTGCATACAAAATTAAACTCAGATTCTCAGCACCGAACTCTGATAGCTGATAGGCTGTATGTATCTGGCTTCTTTCAAAATGCGTGAGGACTCGTGGTGATCAGTTACTGTTGTCACCCAGCAGAGCAGAGCTCGTCCAACTTGAGTGTGCGCATGAACTGCCCGGAGGAGCTGCTGAAATGCAGGCTCTGACAGAGATGGTACAGGGCAAATCGAACCTGTGCTGTAACATGCATGCCTCTCGGCCCTCCACTTCCGAGCGACTCTGGTTTATCCTCATTCATTGCTAGTAACATTTCACAGGCAGGTATTTCTTTCTTAGTTTTGAAGTATACAATAATAGTGCTTTTTTTTTTTTTTAATACTATTTCTCCAGGAGAAAGACCCCCAGCATATTTATGAGAAAGAGCTACTTGCTGTTTCTGTAACAACCTGATCACCAAAAAAAGATAGTGTAGTGGAAACAGACGACTCTGTCACTGGCCCGACACCCTTGATGGCCTCCCAGCTTCTGGAATCCTGTAAAACCACACAGGGAGGACCTGGCAGAACAGAGGCCACCGACGAGCAACAGTTGCTTTGGAGATCAGTGAGATAAACCAAGGAGATCACAATCGTTCACAAACAATGAAAGAACTGACTGGGATTACCACTAGGTTATAAAAGAAAAAAAACGTTACGGGCCAAAATCTATTACGAAGGGTAAGCTGGGGCTGGCGGCTGGCACGGTGGTGAAGAGCACCTGATCCCCATGTGGCCGACTGCAATTCAAGTCCTGAACCTGGGGCTTGCTTTCTCACTTTCTCTCTCCCTTCCTCCCTCTCTCTTTCTCTCTTTGTCCCTCTCTGGTCAAATTTTTAAAAATAAGTAAATAAAGTTAAATAAAATAATCTATTTTTTGGGGGGGCGAGAGGTTTTTGCTATAGGGTGCATGTGCTCAGCAGACAGACAGACAGAGACAGAGAGACAGAAAGTGAGAAATCACCCCCCAGGAGGGATGGTCACGCCGCAATCCCTTCTCCTCCATTCTCCTCTTGGGATCTTGGGCACACAGGCACACG